ACCATTAATATTTAGTTAACGAGTGGCTGTTGTCGGTTGGCAAAATTAACTGAAATGAGCATCCCCAGTGTTAGGATGTTCTGTGTTTGACTGAAGGTGATCTGTTAGTTGTTGTCACATGACTCGCTGTGCACTCGTAGCATTAAAAAGCTGAAATGTTTTGAACTGGGTGCGCCCCAATATGGCAATATGCGTGCACAAGCTGCACATAAATATGCATGTGCAAGCCACACGCCTCAATAGAAAAATAATTAACTTGTGCACGAAAAAGACGTGACATGTGAACGGCCCCTAAACCTGTCGTAATGTGCGATCTACAGCAGTTGATCTTCTTGCACAGACATGCTGGATTCACCAGATTTGTTGACAAATAGGTTCCGGATCCATACTTTGGCAATTTGTGGGTCCTTCCCTGGGCCTTTTCCCTTAGCAAAAAAAACTTTCCAAAGACGTCTGATTCTTACTTATTTTGCTGCTTGTGGCTTAAATTTGGGCACTCAAATTTAACAGAGAGAATACGGTCATTTTCCAAAATAAAAGATTTTTCAAAATAAAAGATTGTTCAAAATAAAAGATTGTTCAGACTCAGATAATATACAAAATGGATCATTTCTTGAGAGGCCAGGTATCAACTGATCCATGGTTGGGGACCACTGCTGTAATCAAGGCTTGACATTAACTTTTCTGATCACCAGCCACTGTCACTAGTAGTTTTCCACCGTGACTAGTCACTCACCATTTTCACCAGCCACAATTTTGTTGGTGGGAAAATATATTTTATATGCATAAATTTGACTTTGGCATGGGTTGCGGCATGCTAAAGTTACTAAAATTTTGTGTTTTTTTCCACTTACCTCGTTCATTTAACTGTTTTTTGTTTATGAGCTCACTTAATGAGCATGAGCAAATGGGTTACGCTTTCATAAAAAAGTGTCACATTGCAATTAGTTTTCTTTCACGGGACTTTTCAGGGCTCAACACAATAAGGATTTACCTTTTCTTCTTTGACTAGAGCTGCACAATTAATCGTTAAAAGATTGCGATCTCGATTCGACCCCCTAGACCACAGGTGTCAAACTCAGTTCCAAAAGGGCCGCAGCCATGCACAGTTTAGTTCCAACCCTAATTAAACACACCTGATCAAACTAATTGAGTCCTTCAGGCTTGTTTAAAACCTACAGGTAAGTGTGTTGGAGCAGGGTTGGAACTAAATTGTGCAGGGCTTCGGCCCTCCAGGAATTGAGTTTGACACCCCTGACCTGGACAATCTTCATCCAGCATTTTTACGATTCTGCCAATCATATTTTCAAGTTCAGGAGAGAAGAAAAGGCGGCTGCACGAGTCTTTTCATTGTTTCACATACATTGCTCAGTGATATTGACACCTCCAAATGATGTTGAATAAGTCACATACTGTATTTATAAGGTATAATTCGCCTAAAAATGTCATTTTTGTTTTAATATAATGATGTTTTCGCGATCTGGAAATCACACATGACGTGAGCTGCTGACCGTGAGCTGTTATCACAGATAGGGCGCGGCGATAAATGTTTACAATGTCAGTATAACTACTCTAGCCTATATATTGTTGAATATAAACTGCTAATGGCAATGTCTGATTTTACCAGTGAATTAAATTGTCTAATATGACAGATTGCAAGCATATATCTCAAACATAATTCAACATCAGAATTATAATAAGAATAGATTAATATAGAATAGAATTATTTATAGAAACCAGTAGACCTACACATATTATTATCGAGGTTGTGCCATATGTTTGTTTTTACCATACCTTTATTTTACATCTACAGAATCGTGAGAAAATCGTGATCTTTATTTCAAGCAAAAAAAATCGCGATTCTCATTTTAGCCAGAATCGTGCAGCTCTATCTTGGACCACACCAAACTAATTATTTCCTTGCTACAAATTTTAAATAATGTGTCCAAACAAGCAAAATACCGCTGTATACATACACTTTTTATTTAACAAAACAGCTGACATTTAAAAAATATATATTCTCACGCATCTAAAACTATGCACAGTGGTCTGTTCTGGCTCCCAGATCACCAGTTAACTGTGCATACAACAACATATTAAAGGAATATTATTGTAAAGGATGATTTATTAAGTTATATTAACAAAATTAACAGCAAGCAAAAGAAAGCGGGTAAAAAAACATTCTGTGCGCGATAATGAAAGGATGATGCCGCGCACAAGGTTAATGTTAGGCCAATTAATAATCTGTTCAAAGAACGGTTAAAGAGAAAGCGACAACAACTTTTGCTGCTTACAAAGAATCTCGAGCCTTTGAAGGAATGTGAGTGCACGAGCATCGCACTAGTTCAATTTCGAGTGAGGAAAGGGCACAGGAGCTTTTAAACACTCGCGCGCATCAAATCATCTGTGCGCGTGGCACTAAAGCCCTCATTAGTGAGTGAGGAAAGCCTGTCTCACCGTGTGCGTGATCTTCTCATTTGTTATTCACTTGCTTTCCTTTGCTCGCACGAAAAGCTGTTTTAGTCAGTCGTGCTGCTTCTGGATTCTAAGATCACATTTGTTCGCATATAGGCAAACGATCATAAACTAACAATCTAATCTGTAGTGATGACGAGCCAGCACTGGCAATTTAAAAATTGAGTTTTTCAGCCAGCCAAAGTGGCTAGTAAGAGTGGCTGTCTAACCCAAGTGGTGCTCACTGCAGAGCCACTTGGGCAGAGCTGTGCTCTAGGATAGATTTTAAGATTCTTTTATTAGTTTATAAAGCACTACACAACATGACACCTTCCTACATTTCCGACTGTTTAACAAAATATAATCCAAACCGTTTGCTCCGCTCTTCTAGTGCTGGACTTTTAGAATTTTATCCTGTAAACCCGATGCGATCTGGCGACACTTCTTTTAGCCATTATGCTCCAAAAAATTGGAACTGTCTCCCTCTTGAAGTGAAAGAATCCCCCAGTATTCATGTTTTTAAAAAGCGTGTTAAGACGCATCTTTTTAAAATTGCATATGAATAAACAAGTTTGTAAGGGGTACGCATTTCATCTATATTGTTGTAGGTTTATGTATGTAATGAATGGTGTGTGCTTGCATATGTAAGGACTATTGTGTGTGTGATCATGTGGATATATGCTTATATTTTGTGTACATGAATGCTTCTATTTCAGTATATGTGATAAGTTTTTATGGTCTATTTTAATGCTTTTTTGTTGTTGTTTGTGAGGCACTTTGAGTTGCATGTAGGTTGAGAAAATGCTAAACAAATAAAGTGTATTATTATTATTATTATTATTAGCAAGGGGGAGCTTGAGCTCTAGTTCCTCCTTCCTTGCACTTCTTCTACGAGTGTTGTCACTGGGGGTTGGGGTTAGGGGTGTGGTGGGTGTACGCATTAAAACAGCTTATAGGAGGAGGAGCTCAAGCTCAAGTGTCTCATCAAACCCGCCACAACCAAAATCTACCCGCATTTGGTGGATTGGCATGTGTTAATGTAAAGCCCTGGCTGTAATGTACAGAAACTGGAAATCCTGATGTTGACATTATGCTACCAGATACACCAGCAGACGCATAATAGCATCACTAAATCAATGTCTTGCCGGCAGCCATAGATTAAAGAACTAAAGTAGGTCCTAAAGGTTATTATAATGAGTCAAAGGTTATTATGGTCATAATGTAATGGCTCATCTGTGTTGATTTTTTCTCAATGGTCTCGGCCTCTTTGTAAGTTTACAAGAAATGGAAAAGGCTTCTTTTTTATGAAATGGAAAGCAGTACTATTAAAATCTAATATGTTTCTCACACATATGTTGTTACACACCATCAGGATTTTATGTTCACTGAGGACGTGGAATATGGCAGCATTTTATAAACAGCTTCATGAATTACTGACTTCTCTCTAATTGACTGCAGCCACACACACACACACACACACACACACACACACACACACACACACACACACACACAAACACACACAAACACAAACACACACACACACACACACACCATATATTTGTTTAATTAAGAGCAGCTCATTGTTGCTAAAATATGACAGTCACTCTCTTTTTCTGCTCACTCAACTATTGTGTGTGTCTATATGTGTGTGTGTGTGTGTGTGTGTGTGTGTGTGTGTGTTTGCTTAAGAAAGTGGGAAAGGCACTGCAGAGAAACCAAACGATGGCCTGACAGAAAAATCTAAATTGGTCTCTTGTCAGGCTCTGTGTGGTGAACAGTTTCCACGGAGGTTTGTGGAGCATTACAAATATTCATTTAAACATTCCCACAACACACACACACACACACACACACACACACACACACACACACACACACACACACATACTGACAAACACAAACACTGCTACAGATGGAGCACTTGATGCCGACAGCAAGACAGCAAGTATTTAGTTAAAGAATACCACAGACTGGAAAGTTTGGTTATGGTTTGAGTTTCCAGTGGTCCAATTACTTTCAAAAGTTTCAATCTGGAAAGTGACGGTGAGAGAACTTGTCATATAGAGGGAACTCCACAGAGCATCTGTAAGGGTTGAAAATGCCAATGTTTGAGTTGAAATGAACTGTTTTTGGTGTGTGTCTCTTTAAATTCAAATGAGCTTTTACTCTCCACCCCCTTTTCAGCAGTTTTGACATCTCTGCTTTAGATATATAATTATCAAAATCAGCAATTTGACTGACAAATTAAATGTATTAGGCTATTTTAGAGTTGTTATAACTCCTTTGCAACAATGGATGAAAAATATATTGTGTAGACATGGTGTAAAACATTCAACATTCAACAAAAAATCTCACTACAACTGCTTCAGATTCAAGACTAATTTATAAAAGGATCATTTAAAAGGACTGGGTGTTTTTAAATCAATTTAAGGTTGTGGAGTGCACACACTGCCTATAAACAACTAACAGTGAATTTTACACAACTTTACAGTCCTGGCGCAACCTCCTCTTTGTATTGTAGGTGTGTGTTTTTGTGTTTGTACCATGAGGATGCGCCGGTAGCTGTCTCTGTCGATGCCCCAGAGTTTCAGGTCAGTCTTGGCCTTCACAGTAGCAGCTCGAGGAGTCCCGTATATCAGAGCCAGTTCTCCAAAACTACCACCCTCTCCAATACTAGTCACCCATTCACCATTCACATATACCTGCAGACACACAGAGAGAAAAAGAGCATTACACACATCTGCTTATAACACACGAGTAAGACAACAGCATACAGAATAGATTTAACTTCATTTTGTATACTGTATAGAAATAAATCAGACTGGAGTTTGCATGCTTTCTCCGTGTTGGCATGGGTTTCCTCTGGGTGCTCTGGCTTCCCCCACAGTCTAAAGACATGTGCTATAGGTGAATTGAATAGGCTAAATTGACCGTGTTGTGTGTGTTGGTGTGAATGTGAGATTTTGGGAGTTCCCCAGTGCTGGGTTGTGGCTGGAAAGGCATTTACTGCGTAAAACACATGCTGGATAAGTTGGTGGTTCATTCTGCTGTGGCGACCCCTGATTAATTAAGGGATTAAGCAAAAAAGAAAATAAATTTATAATATAATATAATATAATATAATATAATATAATATAATATAATATAATATAATATAATATAATATAATATAATTAATATAATAAAATTTATATATAATATAATATAATTAATATAATATAATATAATTATATTAATGGCAGAATGAACCGCCAACTTATCCAGCATGTTTTTACGCAGTGGATACCCTTTTAGCCGCAACCCACAACTTTAGCCGCAACCCAAACTCCACAGCACTACCTACTGCGCCACTGGGTCACCCATAATATAATATAATATAATATAATATAATATAATATAATATAATATAATATAATATAATATAATATAATATAATATAATATAATATAATATAATAATTAAATGAAGTAATAACACAACTTAACCTAACCTAACTTAACTTAATTCAACCCACCTTAACCCAACCTAGCTTAACTTAATAACTAATCAAGTGAAGTATTACAACACAACACGACACGACACGACACGACACGAACTTAATAACTTATTAAATGAAGTAATATAACACGACACAACACAACCTGACATGACATGACGCGACTTAACATGACTTAACACGACTTAACACAACTTAACTAATAAAATTAAGTAATATAACACAACACAACTTAACACAACACAACTTAAATCAACCTAAATTAGCTTAACCCAACCTAACTTAACCCAATCCAACCTAAACTAACTTAATAGCTAATTAAATAAAGCAATATAACACAACACAACACGACTTAACCCAACCTAACTTAATAACTAATTAAATGAAATAATATAACACAACACAACTTGACTTAACCCAACCTAGCCTAACTTAACTTAATAACTAACTAAATGATGCAATATAACACAACAACACAACTTAACAGGACTTAACCAAACTTAACTTAACTAATTAAATGAAGTAATATAACACAACACAACTTAACACAACCCAACAAAACCAAACACAACTTAACACAACCTAAACCAACCTCAATTAACCTTACCTAATAAATAATAAGGTGAAGTAATATAACCCCAGACAAGACAACATGGCTTAACATGGTTTAACCCAACCTAACTTAACAACAAATTAAATAAAGTACTATAACACAACACAACACAACACAACACAACTTAGGCTAACCTAACTTAATAAATAATTAAGTGAAGTAATATAACACAACAAAACCTAACAACAAAACTGAACATGACTTTACCCAACCTAACCTAACCTAACTTAACTTAACTTAACTTACTTAACCTAACTACTAATAAAATTATGTAATACAACATGACACAACACAACTTAACACGACTTAACCCAACCTACCTTAACTTCATAACTAATTAAATGAAGTAATGTAACACAAAAGATCACAACTTAACATGACTTAACCCAACCTAATTTAACTTAATATCTAATTAAGTGAAGTAATATAACACAACACAACCTAACACAACATGACTTAACCCAACTTAGCCTAGCTTAACTTAATAACCAATTAAATGATGTAATATAACAAAACACAACACAGCTTAACACGACTTCACCTATTCATTCATTCATTTTCTTGTCGGCTTAGTCCACAGGTGTCAAACTCTGTTCCAAAGAGGCGGCAGCTCTGCACAGTTTAGTTCCAACCCTAATTAAACACACCTGATCAAACTAATTGAGTGCTTCAGGGTTGTTTGAAACCTACAGTTAAGTGTGTTGGAGCAGGGTTGGAACTAAACTGTGCAGGGCTTCGGCCCTCCAGGGATTGAGTTTGACACCTCTGGCTTAGTCCCTTTATTAATCCGGGGTCGCCACAGCGGAATAAACCGCCACCTTATCCAGCAAGTTTTTACGCAGCGGATGCCCTTCCAGCCGCAACCCATTCCTGAGAAACGACTTAACCCAACTTAACTAATTAAATGAAGTAATATAACACAACACAACACAACATTACACAACATAACACAACCTATATAATATAATATAGCATAATATAATATGATATAACAATAAAATTTATAATATAACTATATAATATAATATTAAACAATATAATATTAAACAATATAATATAATATAATATAATATAATATAATATAATATATAATTTTAATATAAAATATAATTTTAGAAAAAACTTTTAGCTACTGATAATTTATTTATACAGCAAAGTAATAATAACTTTTTATTATTATATATTTGTAATAAACACACACAGATGACCTGTACACAAAAATGCACAATTCAACCAAGTAAATGAGGAACTGTTTCAGATTTCATGTTATCTCCAGTGATTGGCCTGAACTCTCTTTTTACACTAATGACAGTCAGGGGTGTTCATATTGCGACGGCACATCTGATAACACTCGACCAATCAGGATCCTTGACAGTGTCTTATGAGGAATTAGATAACACTTTCTCCTGCTTTGTCTTTCATTCTGGCATAAGTGCATGATGCTACTCAAGACCATATCTGGGTGTGTGTGTGTTTTATTATCAGCCACACGCATTGACAAGCACAAAGAGCCTCTTTCTCGCTTTCCACAGAGGCGGCTTCACTTTCACCTGCGGACACACAATCCACTTGTTGATTTTATGAGGGGCAGGAATAAATGCTCGGCCAGTGGTCTAACACACATTCCTCAGGGTATCTGTGCTCTTCAGAGCGGCCACTGGAACATACTTTAAGTCCAAGCCTGCTGCATGTCACTTCAGGTGAGAAACTGTGCTTCTGATATACTAGCAGTCCTGTATCAGGCCTTCGGGTTGATATTTAGCAAACTTCAGTTAGTGCAAAATGCAGCTGCCACAGTTTTTACTAGGCCAATTTTACCCTCCTTACACTGGCTGCCTGTTAAGTGATGATAAAATATTGCTGCTTACCTTTAAAGCTTTGAATAGTCTAGCTCCTGTTTATCAACATTCTGTCTCGCTACAATCCCACTTGCTCTTTAAAATCTCAAAACTCAGGGTTTCTAGTAGTACCCAGAATAGCAAAGTACACTAAAGGAGGTCTAGCGTTTTCATATATGGCTCCTAAACACTGGAATAGCCTTTCTGGTAATGTCAGAGGTTTAGACACACTCTCTTAGTTCAAAACTAGATTAAGGGTGCTTTCACGCCTAGACATTAGTTTCGAAACCGGTCTCATTTGTAGGGCTGTGCAAAAATATTGATATATCTAACTATCGCAATAATTTCTTTCACGATAGTGTATTGATAGTCAAACCTGAAGTATCGATTTAAGTTGGGCCAAACGACCTCCTCCTCTGTTCCAGTAGATGTCGCTAACTCGCTATCAACAAAACGCTAAGTAATATGGTTTCAGAAGTAAGCAAGCGAGTGAGCATGGTGGAAAATATAAAGGCGCCTCCAGCTTTGAGCTGCACTTTGGTTTTAACACTATATCAGAGTACTGAATTAGACAAAAAATGCAATTTGCTTGCTTAGCAAATCTATCTTAAAATATTCAGGAAACCCTAAGAACTTGCGTTATCACTTAGCAAGACACCACGCAGATTAATTAGCGGCACTGCGACCTCAACTGAAAGCTCTTGATTCAAGGCAAACTACACTGGATAACATCATTAACAATCTACCTCAACTAACAATGCAGAGTTACTGAAAACTGCAGAGGAGGAATGGGAAATAAAATGGAAGGACCTGTCGTTGTAACAGACAACGAGCCAAACATGACCTTAGCAGCACAGCTGGCTGGCATGTTGCATGTAAAATGTTTCGCGCATGCCATCAATTTACCCATGTGCGACCAATTTTCACAGCCAAATGTTCACGATGCTGTCAGTCGCACTGTGAGTTTCTAATAGTTTACTGCATATTAGAGCACTGTGTTCCAGTTTTACGTTTACTTAATGCATTTTATTTATTTTTTTACTTGCTTTAGTTTTTAAATTGTTTATTTCAACTATATGGGACTTTAAAGGCATATACATTCGAGTTAAGTGTTTAATAGCAATATGCATTTAATACATTTCAGTGAGTTCTTTGTTCATTCACACTGTGCAGTTTAGTTAATGCAGCAGCACGAGTGGTCTTTAATGAACCTAAAAGAGCACATGTCACTCCGCTACTCATTCGTTTGCACTGGCTGCCAGTTGCTGCTCGCATAAAATTCAAAGCTCTGATTTTTACTTACAAAGCGATTTCTGGCTGCGCCCCTTCTTTTCTGCTCTCACTTCTGCAGATTTATAGGCCCTCCAGAAATTTGCGCTCTGTGAATGAACGTCGCCTCGTGGTTCCATCCCAAAGAGGCAAGAAAACGCTTTCCCGAACGCTCGCGCTCAATCTGCCCAGTTGGTGGAAGGAACTCCCTAACTGCATCAGAACAGCAGTCACTTGCTGTCTTCAAAAAGCGACTAAAAACTCAACTATTCAGTCTCCAATTTTTCTTACTAATACGCAACTCCCTCTCTGACTCCTCCACTAACTGCAAAAAAAAAAAAAAAAAAAAAAAAATGTACTAATACTTTTCTTCTTAGACTTTACACACCTGAAACTTGCCTACAGCACTTATTCATTGTTGCTCTTATAGTTCTGTAAATTGCTTCCTTGTCCTCATTTGTAAGTCGCTTTGGATAAAAGCGTCGG